GGTTGAGTCTCTAATTAGCTCCTTCGGGTTGATGGCTTCCAGTTGATGCGGTCAGAGTTCTCCAATGGCCTGAAAATAGCACCCCAGAAAATCAAATACAGTCTATCCCATGATCAGTAAATACATTGCAATCCACCCATATACTACACTTGAAATTAATTCATTAACTACATTCAATGTCAAAATTTATGCATAGGCATTGGTTAACAACCACCTTATTATCCATCTAATTTCTCAAAGCTGCCATATAAATATGAAGGCATAGGCATTGGTTAAAAGTCATGATGCACATTATCATTTTTTATTTTTAATCCAGATTTTTAAAAATCTGTTCAGAACAAAATAAAGTTATTTGCAATTAAAAAACTACTTAAATTCATAACTGTTGGAAGTTTAAAGAACAATGGAGCAAATGAGCAATTCACTTTTTATTAATTATTAATTATTAACTAATAAGTACATTTCCAGTAAAACTAAATAATAATAAAAGATTCAGAATTTCTAGTCAAACTAAATTAAATCAAACATTGTAAATTACTTGAAAAAAACAACAAACATATGGTTCAGTAAATTTACTTGGTTCATTTGAAAAATGGCCCTTTTCCTGGAACGATCCAATATGAAGGAATCCGAATCCTCTTGGTATGAAGCTTCAAGAAAGATCTGAAAACCTACATGAAACTGAAATAAATTAGATGAAAAAACTAGACAACTTTAAAAGTAGCCGATGTAGTTCAGAGCATAGGATTGTACCCATATAAGTGAAAATTAATTCATAGGCGTGCAAAATTTTTCATATTAATGGTGGCGCAGAGTTTTAATTCCAAAAAAAAGTCAAAAGTACTTCCATAGCCAAAATTTATAAGTACTCAAATTGAAACCTTGAGGTCCATAAATATAGTTTTATATCCTTTCTGATGTAAATCTAAATCAAGTATCCAATAGAAGAGTCCAAGAAGGAAGAACACATAATTTTGTTCATATTTATCAACTGGAGAGGTACTTATCAACTTACCAAAATGTGGGTGATCTTCTCTGACATACTGCTATTAATTTTCTTACCATCTTCATGTATCTCTTTATGCACAATATCCCTCACAAACAGATTTGATGCCTAGATATAAATTACCAAGTCAGTTAGTAGTTAGAGATATTCTAATCAATAATAAAAGAAGAAGGAAAGTAATTTAAGATAACAGGATGTTGGAGATATAAAATATATTTCATTTGGCTACCATTCATTCAGTATATCTGAGTTTAACTGCTCATCTCAATATATCATATACTACGTATAATCTTAAGTACACGGTTAAAGTGAATTCACTGCTTCAACCTCTTAACTATTCCAATAATCCATACATAAATTTGAATCTATGTTTTCAGAACTCAATGAATTGAAACCACTTATTTTTTTAGGAAAAACAACTTCTAATTAATTCTAAAATCTAGCCTTTTCCCTACAACCAGGAAGAAGTTATCAACTTTTGAGATCAGCAACATCCTGTAGCTAAGCTATGATTGTTCTTATTAGTGATGGTAGGGCTATTCACACTCAAAAAATCAATGTATTTCAGTTCACGGTTTAAATGAGTGCTGTAATTGAACTCGGGGTATAGCAGCACACCGAATTGTGCATGATAAGAAGAGTAAATTGGCTCGTAGTATGAGTTTTGTTGCATTAGTGCAGTATTATGTTAGGAATGTTTCTGGTTTCTTGAACTGGTTTCTTAGCATATTATATTTAGTTCAGTTAGACATACAAGTTTCAGTATAAGCATGGGCTCATGAACAAAAAACAAGCAGTAAAAATGTTAAGGGCTAAAAGCCCTTAATATAACAGGCAAACTAATATTATATTGAGTATAATATTTCCTATTACCGCCCAATAATCAGTAAAATCCCTGCATATTAGTCCACTAATATTATATACTAAGGCAGTTTTGCTTCAATGAAATTCCTGATTCTGACTCAATTAACATCTTTTTCTAGAGATGAGCCTGTTCTTTGGGTTATTAGTTGAGAGCTGATGTATAAGAGATTGAAGTACATAGAGATAGATAATACTCTATTATTATTAATCTGAAAAATGAAACATCTAGTTAGATTATCACTTTAGGCTAATGTTCTAGAGGAAAGGCCTCATGTGGACAATGAGGGACTTGGCGGCAGGTCCTCCATGACAACCCTAACTCGATTCTGAATATCTAGAGAGTGAAATGGAAGATGAAGAAGTTTTTTTTAATAGAGTAAATTGAAGACCATTTATCATTCACACAACACTACTAAACTAAATGAAATAATCACTTTCAAGAATGGTGTACCCATTATCATCATCTGTTATCAATAGGCATAGCTGTGATTCTCACTTAGAGACAAAGCAGTAACAAGTAAGCACTACCTAATAAACAATTATAATACTAACCATTATCGATTTTGATTTCATTTTGCATTGAAGTTCCCTCTTCTTCATTTGAGTTTTCAATAGAGGTAGCAGAAGATTCAGCACACACAACACTCTTATCAGGTTCATCTATAGAGCGTACAGGAAATTTGTGTGGAGTCTCCCTCCCTTTTAGGCACATACATCAACAATTTACTATCAAAATTGATAGAAAACTCTAAATCAAAATCGAAATTACTATTATGTTGGAAAATTTATTAAATAATTGTGGCCAAATCTGCCAATTAGACAATGAATTAGTGTATATGTAAAATTAAGCACATCTATATAAACACATAAAAAGGAAATCCATCTTGCAACAAACTAAAGATCCATTGATACTGAATGTAGCGGAAATTAGATCAATGAAGCATCCATATTCATAGACGGAAATACGATGAGTCTCAAGCAATGACAACATCAATTAAGTAGACATACCCTCAAGCACTTCGTAGAAATTAAGCAATCGCGAAAAAGAAGTAGAAAATACCGATTTATACTAACAGACGGAAATACGATGAGTCTGGACATTTGATAGCGGAGAAAATCCGATGGGAGATTTGCGATGGCACAATTGCGCAAATCCGAATATAAGGATTTTTGTCTGAGGAGTCGAAGATGATCTTCTACTATGTGCGATGGCTGATAATGAATCTGTGGTGATGCTGTCATGAGCAGCCGGAAGAGCTTAGGTCATATTTTTCCGGCCGCACCGATTAGTTTGCACAGAACGTGTGTTCTCTTCTTCCATTTGATTCCTTTTACTTTAGAATAATAACTCCAGTTTTTTTAAATGCCGGCTAGGGATTTTTAAAATGCTTAACTTCCCTTTTCTTATCTTATGGATTTTGAAAATTGAAATGTGTCGGCAAATGAAAATGAAAATTTGGGTCAACATATCTATAACGAATTTATTATGTTTATACATTAATAATACTCCTTACATAGTATAGTATAGTATAGTATTATGTTAAAATAGTAGTGGAATAATTTTCTTGTCACACAAAAGTGTCAATATATGCTAGCTATTATAACACATTTTTATGTGTCAACAAATATGTGTGTCAAGAAATGTAATATTTCTTGTAGTGTAGGTTCAAAGGGAAAACACAACTGTGGACTGGCTCGGGCGGTACTAGCCAAGATATAGTACACTCATGTCATGAGCACTTAGGGTAAGTTACGCTTTTAATGATCTCTATATCTCGATAAGTTCAAGTAAGGTATGACATGATACCTTCCATAGAGATCACCTATGCTGGTGGAAGAAGGCCGCTTCTATGAGAGTCTATGGCACGAGATAAATTCTCCGGTGCACGATATACTCTTGAAAACACTAGCTGAACCAGGAGGTGTTCAAGGCCGAAACGAACACAAACGTGAGAACCAAAGATGCACTCGGGGCTCTGTGTGTTATTCATTGTCTAGGTTTATGCTAAGGCTGACAGTTCAAGGCAGAAATGGTCACTGATTGGCCGGTAAATCCGATGAATATACACTAAGGTAGGTTCAAAGTTTCACGACTACCTAACCCTATGCAGAGTTCCCATCTTCCCATGTCAAATTCCAATCTGTTTCCTGTCTTTAAGCCAATTTCCCATTCATGTGGGGGGATTGTTGGAAAAATGGTTTTACAAATTAATATGGTCATTAATATTATTTGGAAAAACCATTTCTGGAATGAATGAGAAATTGTTCCCCGAAAGATAAGCGTGAAATTATATTTAACCCGCTCACACCGCCGCCGTAAGTCGGCTAGCTCGGGTCGGGCCGGGTTCGAGTCTCACCGGACATTTTCGTATGGCTAAAGACTGGAGATTATTTTGCTACGTTTTTATTCCTTTTCGGATAAAACCAAATAGAAGACATAACTATTCGTTTTAAAAGAAAGGTCATGAACTTTCTTTTAATAGGTGTCTTTTGGGTTAGAGACTCCTGGCCAGAGTTCTATAAATACCCGCCTTGTCTTCAATTTTAAAACATCCGAAAATCAACAACAATCCTCCATATTCGATCTCTTCCTTTTGTTGCATCTTTGAGTTCGCCGGGATCCCGTTGGGAGCGAAGAACCGTTCTATCCTGGGAGACGATTGCTACGTGTGTCGGGCAAAAACGTCTTAAGGAAACAACGTTTACGTTGGGCTCGGTTACAAGTATTCTTACGTTTTCCTTAATTATTTATTAGTTATTATATTTTCATGCAGATTTAGTACACATATTCTTAACACAATTTCTCGGGATATACCTCTAATATGTTTGATAACTCTATTTTCAATTCATCTGTTTTTTCAATTAATACTCCGTACCTTTTGTTATATGTGTAGCTCTTAATTTTATGCATTAAATTGTGTTATAATTAAAATAAGGAAGATTAATTGAAATTATTGGTTGAATTGATTGAAGTTTCAATCATTTTAACTATTTTTCATTTAATTTTTTCTTTATTTTTAAAATATTTGAAATTAATTGTGTATACCAAGTAAATAGATTCAATATACAAATTTGTGTATAAATCATAAATGACGCATAGACCCAGAATTTCCTCAAGATAAGTGTAGCACACAGGAGTAAATATAGGAAAGCTGCACATTTTAAGACGTTAGGCTCGCGGGAACACCAATCGTATTTTCTCAAGATAACAAACTCGCCGTTGTCGTTTTCTTCTCTCCCGTCTCCAAACTGTTCGAACGCAGGAATACAAATGCAGGCATAGTTTTCTTTCACAATTCTCATCCCTTCCCACCATTGTCAGAGCTTCATCTCAAACAGATTACGCATGGGTACGCCTTGCCTTCTACTCCCCATTAATCCAATTCATTTCGATTCATTTATTGTTTTCATGATATGTTTTTTTTTTAATTATCAAACTTTATTTGTGCATTGATCCGCTCTTAGCTACAACATTTCAATCATTTTGTATTTCACCAGTTTAATTTGCTGCCTCGTTTATCATCTTTTGATCCAGTGAGGTAGCCTAAAATTACTCAGGGTCAATTTTTTTGCATCATTACTCTAAATACATATACACGTTTCTGGTATAATCATAAAGCATTAAGGTTTGTTCTGGCTTCCATTTTGAAATTCATTTTTTTTTTAATTTGAGTTTTTTTAAATGTCTTATCAGTTTCAAGTTTCAAGATTGATAGAAAATTTATTGAATGTGTCTTCCTAGTCTTAATTGGTTTGAGCTTAAACATGTCAATTTTGCACATAATTGGAATTAGTTGGGGATTTCCAATTAGTTAATTGCACATTTGCAACCATCTCATTTTTCTTATCAACATTATATTTTCTGCGGTGTTGCTGTGAATGTGCAATAGGAGGAGGAATTGGATGTGTCTAGACTTTATCTCCAGTTTAGTCTCCTTTTAAAATTACCCAATATAAATTATCTCGTCCAAGGGTGTTTATATATATATATATATACATCATATATGGATTTGTTTATTGTTCCCATGTCGTGTAGCCAAGCACTTAAATTCTTATGAAGAAATAATCATAAGTATTCAAGTCTTAGTGTTACATATCGTATAGTAAACATTATCTCAGGTTCTTTGAGAATGGGAATGATGCATTTTAACTTCGTTCATATCTCCATTATCTATTTTATCTTGCCACGGTATTTACTTATATCAGATAAAACTGATGGGTGCTGCTCAACTCAACTCATTGATGGGGATGGTAACTTCAATGTTGCTGGAATTGAAAATTTCATGAAGGAAGTTAGGCTAGCAGATTGTGGGTTGTCATATGTTGTCGTATCAATAATGGGTCCACAGAGTAGTGGTATGTATATCTCGTTGCATTGAACTGATTAATAAAAGTCTTTATACTTCTTTTTCTTTGCATGTGATTTGGACTTTGATGACTTTTCAATACCTCAACCTTATTACTTTTTCGACTCTAACAGGTAAGAGTACATTGTTAAATCATTTATTTCATACGAACTTTCAAGAGATGGATGCTATCATGGGAAGGTATGACTTTGCTAAGCTTCCATGAATCTATGATATGCCTTCTTTGGGTATATCTATATGCAGTTGGTTTGATCTTTTTCTTATGCTCAGGTCACAAACCACAAAAGGAATTTGGATGGCTCGTTGTGTTGGGGTTGAGCCGTGCACACTTGTAATGGATTTAGAGGGCACTGATGGAAGAGAGCGTGGAGAGGTATGGCTAAATCAGCTTGTTCATCGCGTGTCATAATGGTGACAAGAACACAGTTTCTCATTTGATATATTTGTTGTTAGGATGATACAACATTTGAAAAGCAAAGTTCCTTGTTTGCCCTTGCTGTTTCTGATATAGTTCTAATTAACATGTAAGTTTATCTCTGACCTGTTTTGGGCAAGCTCGTGATATATACTTCAAGATTACAAAAGATATTTTTTTCTTCAACTTCTTAAATACGAGTAAATAAGGGTGCATCTTCAGGTGGTGTCATGATATTGGTCGTGAGCAAGCTGCAAACAAGCCTCTGTTGAAAACAGTTTTCCAGGTACAATAATATGTTCATTGTCATGCCTGACATTAAGGTATGAGGGACGACGTTTTACTAAATCAACATTATTGCAAACAGGTCATGATGCGATTATTTAGTCCACGTAAAACAACTTTGATGTTTGTTATACGCGACAAAACAAGGGTATGAACCTACCTTGTTCATGGTTTGTGGAAAGTCATGAATTTAGATCTAATAACATAGTTACTTTTCTGGTTGTAATTCAAATTGTGTCCTATAGACACCTCTTGAGAATTTGGAGCCTGTTTTGAGGGAAGATATTCAGAAGGTACGCTGCATGCTATTTTTAATATTTTTATTCTCAGTTTTGCAGTTGACTATTCCTCACTTTTTGTGTTCAGATATGGGATTCTGTCCCAAAGACTCAGACTCACACAGAAACTCCTCTAAGTGAATTTTTCAATGTATGTTTCATCAATAGAGACCTTTTCATTCCTGTAAGTTCTCGATTTTGTTTGCAACCAGTACCCGTATAAATAGAATCTGTCTACCAGGTTGAGGTTGTAGCTCTTAATAGTTTTGAAGAGAAAGAAGAACAATTCAAAGAGCAGGTAAGCAGTTTGTTACATCTTTTTGTCATCTAATGCTTACTATAGCTATATGTATTATCATGGGTTTGTTGCAATCAGAAGTGAAGTTATTAATTTTATCACCTTTTTTGAAATTCTTTTCACGGAGGTGGCTAGTCTAAGACAAAGGTTCTTTCACTCTATTGAACCTGGTGGGCTTGCTGGAGATAGGCGGGCAGTTGTTCCGGCATCAGGTTTCTCATTTAGTGCACAACACATGTGGAAAATAATCAAGGAAAACAAGGATCTTGATCTTCCGGCACACAAGGTTATCACCTAAAAATAGAGCATGCAATTTTCTTTCAAGTATTCTTCTAGTTTCATGGTATGATTTTTTGGTACACGTGAATGTATATATAATTAAAGGTTATGGTGGCTACTGTTCGTTGTGAAGAAATTTCAAACGAAAAATATGTCGGGTTTACTTCAAATGAGGTATCTTTAATTTTTTAAATAATGTCTTATTGAGTAAATCACGCTCTTCCTTCTTTTACATGTTCAGCGGAACGGTATTATTATTAAATGCTAATGTGGATATATAATAGGAATGGTGTAAAGTAGAGAAGGCAGTTCAATCTCATGCTGTGCCTGGATTTGGGAAGCTGGTTAACTCAATACTGGCTGATTGTCTGTCCGAGTAATTATAATCATATTGTTGCACATAGAATGCTAGGCATCCATATAATATGTATATCCTTATCTACTGCCCTTGGGTTTTCTGTTTATCAAATCAGTGCACCCTTTGGTTCTTATGATATGTTCCATATATATATATATATATATATATTAATATAGTCATGCGCCCTTTTGTGTACAATAGTTTTTTATTCTTATTGTAAACCTGGCATTTATACCCCAAGGTATATGTTACGGATGCATTCTGGGGCAAACAATACAGCAGGCGACAAGGCCCGGAACGAGCCCAGCACGTTGCAGATTCAAGCCCAGACAGTGGGCCCAAATATACCGGGAAACAAAGTGGCTGAAAGAAAACTATTAATTAGTTATTACTATTATTCCTATTTCAGTTTTAGGCAACTGCCTAATTATTCTAGTTTCCTATTTCAGTTTTAGGCAACTGCCTAATTATTATAGTTTCCTATTTCAGTTTTTGGCAACTGCCTAATTATATAGTTTCCTATTTCAGTTTTAGGCAACTGCCTAATTATTAATTGCCTTTAGGGCTCTTGTATCAGCCTCTATATAAGGGTCATTATTATTATCAATAAAGTACCTTTTGGAAGAATTAATTTTGTGTCTTGACTAGGTCGGACATCAATTTAATTCCTACTTCAGATTTCAATTCTTCAGAAATCATAGATTCCTTCCCAGTCAATTACCTTCCCTCTGAATTACAGAAACCTTCTCGTCCCTGGACGAGATCATTAACAAAGGTTCTTAACAATTTGGTATCAGATTCCGGGACGATGGGTGATGACGCAGCAGGAGCCGAGGCATTGAAACACATGATTGAGGGCATTGACCAACGCCAGTTGACTGTCGAACACCAGCTGGCTGACCTGCAGGAGTGTGTCTCCAAATTGGCCGATTTACCCGCAGCGATGGCCGCCTTGTCCGTCTCTGTCCAGAAACTAACCGCAGATTCTTCCCCAGTATCTTCCCGCTTTGCTCGGCCACACGAACGAGAAATCCGACGCCAAGATCATGATGACTTAGTGGTTCCACGTTTTTCCAAGCTTGATTTTCCACAATATGACGGTAAGAGCGACCCTTTATCATGGCTTAAACGTTGTGAAAGTTTCTTTGTTCACCAGCGCACACCGGCGCAAGCCCGTGTGGGTCTCGCAACGTTCCACATGATTGGGACAGCCCAACTCTGGGCTGATCAGCTGGATCCCAGTGCTACCGACATCACCTGGACTGAGTTCTATACAAAGTGTACTAAACGCTTTGGACCGCCCTGTGGTGCCAATCCTGAAGGGGACCTTGCCAAACTCACCCAAACACATGATGTGGAAACTTATATCGAGTTGTTTCAACAGTTGCTTGCCCGCACCGTTGGCATCTCTATGCGCATGCAAGTTAAAATCTTCACAGCAGGATTACGTGAATCGTTGCGCTTGGAGGTTGAGTACCAGAATCCAGTTGATCTTGATTCAGCAATGATGCTGGCCCGTACTGTGAACCGCAAGTATGAACACCCAGAGACCAAATCTCGTTCCACTCTTTTGGTTCCATCTGCACAGTACTCTCGGCCACCGACACCGAATATGCCGGATCCATCCATAAACCGACGACAATCCACACCGGGTTTTAAAAAGATCTCCCGCGCTGAGGCTGCCATACGCCGGGAAAAAGGATTGTGTTATAACTGTGACGATCCATGGATTCCAGGGCACCGATGTAAACGGCTCTTTTTTATTGAGATTCTGGATGAGGAATCCTTACTAGAGACAGATGAATATACAACCAGTCCTGAGCCATCCCTATCTATCTTGGCTATGACTGGGTTCGGATCTTCATCCACCATGCAACTGTCAGCACGTCTCTATGACCGTTCCATCACTATCTTGGTAGATTCGGGCAGCACTCATAACTTCCTGCACCAACGGTTACTTCCAACCACGACGGCCCTATCTCAGGTTGGTGGTGCACTCCATGTACTTGTCGCTAACGGTGACCGTGTCCCCATAATTGGTACCTGCTCTAATCTCCCTTTTGAAGTCGATGGCAGACAATTCTCAGCAGATGTTTATGTCCTTCCACTGGCCGGGTTTGATATGATCCTTGGTGTGCAATGGCTCCGTGGGTTAGGTTCCATCGTGTGGGACTTTGAGCAGCTCTCCATGCGTTTCCAGTGGCAAGGCCATCCAGTGGAATGGCAAGGACGAGTAGCAGGTCAGTCCATTCATGCACACATGGCTGTTACATCGCAGATGGTGACCCCATCTCTAGACGCAATGCTGAACAGTTTCTGTGACCTCTTTCGCGAACCCACCAGTCTTCCACCTCGCCGAACTCATGATCACCGTATTACTTTATTGTCGGGCTCAGGTCCAGTGGTGGTTCGACCATACCGATATCCTTATTTTCAGAAGGATGAAATTGAAAAACAATGTGCTGAGATGTTAGAACAGGGGATAATCCAGAATAGCCGCTCTCCATTCTCATCCCCGGTTTTATTAGTCAAGAAGCCCGATGACACATGGCGTTTTTGTGTGGACTATAGGGAACTGAATGCCAAGACGGTTAAAGATAAATTCCCTATTCCAGTGATTGATGAACTGTTAGATGAACTCCATGGAGCAAAATTCTTCACCAAGCTGGACCTCCGCTCTGGTTATCACCAAATCCGAATGGATCCTAATGATGTCGAAAAAACAGCATTCCGAACCCACCATGGTCACTTTGAGTTCCTGGTGATGCCATTTGGGTTATGTAATGCTCCCTCTACGTTCCAAAGCCTTATGAACGACATCTTTGGTCCCTACTTGCGCAAGTTCGTATTAGTTTTCTTTGATGACATCTTAATCTATAGTAAGTCATGGGTTGAGCATGTCCATCACGTTCACCTTGTTTTTGAGATTTTACGCACTCACGGATTGTTTCTCAAACATTCCAAGTGTAGTTTTGGGTCCCCGCAAGTTAACTACTTAGGACATGTGATTCATGGTCAAGGAGTTGAGGTTGATAAATCCAAGATTCGCGCGGTTCTTGACTGGCCTACCCCAAGCACCGTAACTGCCTTGCGTGGTTTTTTGGGTCTTGCAGGCTATTACCGCAAATTTATACAAGGATATGGGGAAATTGCAAAACCACTCACCCAACTTCTCCAGAAAAATGCTTTTGTTTGGTCCCCAGCAGCAGCCTCTGCCTTCACTGACCTCAAACAACGTTTGTCTTCAGCTCCAGTATTACAACTTCCAGATTTCACAAGAGAGTTTGTTGTGGAGTGTGATGCCTCTAGTAGTGGATTTGGGGCCGTGTTGCAACAAGAGGGCCATCCCATTGCATATTTTAGTCGGCAGATTGCTGCCCGCCATTCGAAACTTGCGGCTTATGAGCGGGAACTAATCGGTCTGGCGAAAGCAATCACCCATTGGCGGCCCTATCTTTGGGGTAGAGAGTTTCTAATCAAGACTGATCATTCGAGCCTCAAATATCTGTTAGAACAACGCCTCACTACATCACCACAACAACACTGGCTAAGCAAGCTCATGGGCTTCACTTTCCGGATCGAGTACAAACCAGGTCGCTTAAATGTGGTTGCAGATGCGTTGTCTCGTCGAGATGAACCTATAACGTTAGCAGCAGTCTCCATTCCATATACAACTCTCATGGAGGACATACGCCTCGAACACGCCACGTCACCAGAAATCAAGGCGTTATGTGAACAGTTGAAGACCGGGGTCCTCGACAATGACTGGGCATATCGTGATGGCTTTCTCTACTTCCGCCATAAGATTTTTCTCCATTCCACCTCATCCCTCATTACCACGTTGATTATGGTGTTCCATGAGATGGCCCATGAAGGAGTGGAAAAGACACTACAACGGTTGCGCCGAGAATTCTACTGGCCCAAAATGAAGCTAACGGTGAGTCAACTTGTTAAGGAATGCCTCACATGCCAACGCCATAAATGGCTAACTTTACAACCAGCAGGGTTGCTTCAGCCATTACCCATTCCACAGCAAGTTTGGGCCGACGTTTCCATGGACTTCATTGAGGGGCTGCCCAAAGTTCGGGGCAAAACAGTCATTTTTGTGGTTGTGGATCGTCTCACCAAAGCTGCCCACTTTATACCACTGGCTCATCCATACACAGCTGTTTCAGTGGCCAATGTCTTCTTTTCTGAAATTTTTCGGCTACACGGACTTCCTGAATCTATAGTTTCTGACCGTGACAAGGTTTTCGTTAGTCAATTTTGGCGAGAACTTTTCCGTTTGAGTGGCACTAAACTGACTTTTTCTTCAGCTTATCATCCCCAGACGGATGGCCAAACGGAGGTAGTTAATCGCACATTGGAAACTTTTTTACGTTGTCTCACCAGTGACTGCCCCAGGGAGTGGGTTCGATGGTTACCTTGGGCAGAATTCTGCTATAACACTTCCTTTCACTCCAGTTTAGGAGACACTCCATTTCGTCTCGTCTATGGGCGAGATCCGCCGAAGTTAATCTCTTATACTCCAGGAACCGCCAAATTGGAGGGAGTGGAACAAGAGTTAATCAACCGGGATGCTTTTTTATCTTCAGCTCGACGTCACTTGACCACTGCCCAAGCTCGTATGAAATCTCAATATGACAAAAATCATAGGGAGGTTACCTTTGAAGCCGGTGATTGGGTTTGGCTACGGGTTCATCCTTACCGACAACTCTCCATGGGTTCCCGTCACCATAAACTACTTCCCAAATTCTATGGTCCATTCCAAGTGGCTGCTCGCATCGGCAAGGCTGCTTATCAGCTTTCTCTACCTGAGACAAGTAAAATTCATAACGTCTTTCATGTTTCCCTCTTAAAGAAGCATCACGGTCCTTCCCCTGAGCAAATGGGAACTCTGCCTCCTTTAACAGAACAACCAACAACCTTGCAACCCCTAGCCATACTTCGCAAACGCCTTAATAGGGGTGTGCCAGAGGTACTTGTTCACTGGATAGGACAGTTGGCCGAGGAAGCCACCTGGGAGACCTTGGAGTCCTTTACTGCTGCATTTCCAAGGTCTGAGCTTGCGGACAAGCTCGAAGTCGATGAGGGGGGTATTGTTACGGATGCATTCTGGGGCAAACAATACAGCAGGCGACAAGGCCCGGAACGAGCCCAGCACGTTGCAGATTCAAGCCCAGACAGTGGGCCCAAATATACCGGGAAACAAAGTGGCTGAAAGAAAACTATTAATTAGTTATTACTATTATTCCTATTTCAGTTTTAGGCAACTGCCTAATTATTCTAGTTTCCTATTTCAGTTTTAGGCAACTGCCTAATTATTATAGTTTCCTATTTCAGTTTTTGGCAACTGCCTAATTATATAGTTTCCTATTTCAGTTTTAGGCAACTGCCTAATTATTAATTGCCTTTAGGGCTCTTGTATCAGCCTCTATATAAGGGTCATTATTATTATCAATAAAGTACCTTTTGGAAGAATTAATTTTGTGTCTTGACTAGGTCGGACATCAATTTAATTCCTACTTCAGATTTCAATTCTTCAGAAATCATAGATTCCTTCCCAGTCAATTACCTTCCCTCTGAATTACAGAAACCTTCTCGTCCCTGGACGAGATCATTAACAAAGGTTCTTAACAGTATATCCTTTTTCTGTTTATCAAATTTTTACAAATTATTTCTAAGTTTGTTTGGTGCAATGGATTAAAATCGCATGGCGCCTCACTTTACAAAAATATTACTCAAAAAATGAATAAAGACCCGTGTCTCATTATACCACTCTTTTTGGGTGGACAAAACAAGTTCTTAAAAGAGGATTCTTTTTAGGACGGAGGGAGTATGTTGTATTTATATTTTATGCAATAACAAAATGGACTAACTTCTTAAAACTAGATATGTCATATGGACATGGCCTTACTAAGACTGCATGTTCAGGTATGATGCTGAGGCCACATTTTTTGATGAAGGTGTGAGAGTGGCAAAAAGAAAACAGTTGGAACAGAAATTGCTACAGGTAAATTTGGCTCCCATAGTAATACTCTCTTCCCATCTGTTCCAAAAAACAAACAATATAATATTCTTTTTCTATATTTTACATGGTTAAAACGTGTCCACAAGATAGGTCCATGCATTATTCATGTATTTAACTAGTGAATAATCATCTCATCTGTCCCAAGGAATTTAACTAGATGAAGTGAAATTCAAACTCCAAGACGTCCAAGGCGTAAGAGCAGTCCGTTTTCCCTTATAGAACTATGAAACTTTTGTGACAAATCAGTTCAGGAAATAGAACCATTACCATCTTTTTGCTAGGGTAACATTACTTACAATAGAACTGTCCAAATTGATTCAGGATTGTTAAGAGTGCTTGAGTTTAATTGTTAAGTCTTGAGTTTGACTTGCTAATCAAATTAATTCAATCTTTTAGTGTGATGTGACCCATGTTAAATCCTGGTTCTTTGCATGCTGCCATGCTTATTTTGATCCTACCTTGTAGCTTATCCAACCATCTTACCAATCCATGTTGGGTCACATACGATCCGAGGTGATGGAAAGATTCAAGGAAATGTTTAGTAGAGCGCTGAGCGCGGGGAAAGACTTTGCAGTGGCTACTTCTGAGTGCAGCGAGTCGTGTTTGGTACAATTTGATGATAAATGCAAAGGTACATATTTTGAAGGCCACTGAAAAGTAATTTTCTTAACATGTGAACTATGAAGGCATTGTTATCTATTATCACATGAAAAGTATAATGCCAAAGTAATTTTCGTGAACTATGAAGGCATTGTTATCAGTTATCGCATAAAAAGTATAATGCCAATTTATGGTTGATAAATTGTTGCGCCTAAGTATTACGAAGGCTAATCTCCGAAGCAAATAACCTACGGTTCTGCAGATGCTGCCATTGACCAAGCTAACTGGGACTCATCTAAAGTAAAAGATAAGTTCAAGCGTGATGTTGATGCCCATATTGTTGCAGTCCGTGCTGCCAAGCTGGATGAACTTACAACCCTTAACGAGGTAAATTGGCATGACACTGAGTAATATATTTGAAGAAAGGGATGGGGCATAAATGTAATGATCATTTGGAACCTGTGATTAGATTTGGCCATTTGGGGGGCGATTTTGTTAGTCCCACATAGAACTATTGCAGCTCGTCTGGCACAAGAAGGAATTATGAAAAAATCAAACTTAAACTCTTTAAAAGTTAATAGAATTTTATCAATCCAAGACCTGAAAGATGCATTTACTATCAATAAGAGACCTGAAAGATAAAGTGTGTTAATATAGGATCTGAATGATTGAAAACTATCAATCTAGGAGCTAACATATCATAGATTTTGTTTACTTAATTTTTTTAAATTACATTGTTAACTTTTGATGCTTTTTCTTCACAAAAGTTCATTAATTTAATAAGATTAAATAATTTTTGATTTTTTTAAAATACTAAAATATTAAAGTTCATGAAATTTTAGGTCTTGGATTGATAGTTTTTGATTATTCGGGCCCTACATCGTTAATACTTAATATACTAGAGGGTCTGTAGTACTTGTTTTGTGGGGGTCCTGGAGTACTTGTGTATTAGAAGGGCTGTTAACCAATTGATTTATAAGACCTTGGTTTGACTGACGAATTGAGAACCCAACCTATTTATGAATTAGATCAGGTTTACGATTAAAATGTTTTCATCAAATCATACAGAAAAAACTGAATGAGGCATTGTCTGGACCAGTTGAGTCTCTGTTGGATGGAGCTAGTGATGATACATGGCCAGCAATAAGAAAACTACTAAGACGTGAAACAGATGCCACAATCCATGGCTTTTCTGCTGCACTTTCTGGTTTTAAAATGGATGAAGAGACCCATAGTGATATACTTTCAAGGTTGAAGGATTATGCTAGAGAAGTGGTGGAAACAAAGGCTAGGGAAGAAGCTGGAAGGGTTTTGATGCGCATGAAGGAGAGGTTTTCAACAATATTTAGCCATGACACAGATTCAATCCCAAGAGTTTGGACAGGAAAGGAAGACATCAGAGCCATTACCAAAACTGCTCGTTTATCTGTAAGACAATAATGCTTACATGAGTACTCCTAACCTGATTCCTTTTAAATAGGAGTATTTCAATTAAGCCTCTTTCATTAATGTCTCAGTCTCTGAAGATACTCTCAGTCATGGCTGCAATCCGGTTGGATGATGAAGCTGATAATATTTCAAAAATCCTGACCCTTGATTTATTGGATGGTAAACCAGGGGTGGCTGCTAACAAAAGTATCACATCACTTGACCCTCTGGCCTCAAGCACTTGGGACTATGTAATTGCATTAATAAGTTAATTTTTAATCTGAGGTATTAGATCATTTTTAATCTATAAACTAGTTTTATTATAATCCTTATAACAGGTTGATCCATCAAAAACATTGATCACGCCTGTTCAGTGCAAGACTTTGTGGAGGCAATTTAAAACTGAGACAGAATACACTGTCACCCAAGCCATATCTGCTCAGGCATGGCTTATCAAATTTTTATTTCTTCTTCTAGCAGGCGTAATTACGCTTGTTGGTAGCATTATCTGTTTGGGTATGTATACGATTATGTCCATATTTAGAAGTTTGTTGGTTGCCTTTTTCTCAACACTCAGGAAGCTAGCAAGAGAAACAACAACTGGTTGCCGCCTCCATGGGCAATTCTTGCCTTAATTATCTTGGGATTCAATGAGTTTATGACGCTTTTAAGGTGCTTTCATGTTGCTCAAACTTGTTTCTTGTTTCCCTTTTTATTGTGGATCCATATATGACCCATCTTGGTTTTGCCTTTTTTGTTTACAGAAATCCTTTGTACTTGGCTTTTATATTTGTTGCTTTTCTTCTGTTAAAAGCATTGTGGGTGCAACTAGACATCGCGGGTGAATTCCGAAATGGAGCTGTAAGTTTTAGCCTTAGATTTCTTTACCATTGTCTAATGTAACTACGCTTTTAAAAAAAGTCTAATCCCTTCTCATTTCATTTGAACTAATTGGGTGTCAAACTCTAGAAAAAAGAACATAAAATGAATATTTTTTTAACTCTATATGCCTTGTCAACTTCTTCAATGACTTAATTCAGCCCTTCTTCAATGAAAATCAATATTTTCATGAGGTGTTTTATGCCTATACAGCTTCCTGGTATTATTTCTATATCGACAAAGATCATTCCTACAGTCATGGACATGGTTAAACGAATAGCGGAGGAAGGACAAGGGCGGGAAAGAAGTAATTATGCCCAACCCAATTCAACCTTACCTTTCAAGAGCTTCAGGAGTGGAAATGATGATCTTGGTGGAGACACATCATCAAGCAGTTCTTCATCTGAGGTGTGTTCTTCAGAAACCAATTCTAACTTCTCCAGTCCCAGGGGGGATAAGAAGTTCCAATAAGTCATGTTTTAGCAGCACGTTTTGTTTTGACCTCCAATAATCCTAGCATGCCAATTCAAGTAGATCTATTCATTCATTCTTTTTTGTCAAGGTGGTTTTTTTTACTGCCATGGGGTTGTAATATGCTAGTAGCCCTCCAAGTTTTTGGTTTTCTTGTTGGCCCTTTTATTTTGAATTCAATGATCTTGCCTTCCATTTTTGTCTTTCGAGGGGCATAATAAGATCATGCCATTCTTCAGATGTGAGTTATGTATATTTGTTTTTACTTTTTTCAATTTTTGTATTACGAACATGTCAAAAGGGAAGTATGTAGTATATTGAACATGTCAAAATTGGTGTTTTGACTAATAAACAAACAAATTCTCAACCACTAAAGCATGATCTTTTATGGATATTTAGTGCCAAAGTGTTATTGAAAAAAAAAACTTGTAGACAAAACCATGATTTAAGTGACTTTGAATATACATTTAAAGTCAACATAATATAATTTTTTTTATAATTGTAGTCGCCAAAAGTTATTAAGTCGTATTTTTCCACTATCCTTATTTTAATTTGATCAATAACTATGCATTTTAATACTTTATCACGTTTTTTATAAACAGACTCCACTGTACTGAAAAGTTCAATACCCTATGATGGTTATTGTAATGATTGTTATTGAACAAGTGTTATTGTTTGTAGAATAATAGACATTCGATATATTTGCATACTATTTTATACTTTTCTTATTTTTATGCAGACACACGATTTTTATGCATATTTAGTGCCGCCAATGTTATATTCTTAAATGGACTCATTTTATTATGCAAACTACAAATTAGAGTATTTTGAGAGATTATTAAGCTATTTTGGAAGAACATTAATTATCTCATGTATTGAGTTATTGACATTTTAACAGTAAAATTGTAAAAAAGGGGTCTCTTTTCCACATTAATCTCAAGTACGTATTGGGATTTTGGGATTAATACATGCATAGTGTTGGACTCGGGTCGAGTTCGGGTTCGGGCCTAGGTCCGGCCGGGCTTTTGATGTTTGGGGTGAAGGCCCGGGACCGGCTCGGGTTACCACCAGGTCTGGGATAGGTCGGGTCCATGTATTTTTTTTCTTTTCTAATTAACCCCCCCCCCCCAACCCCCCCCCCCCCAAACACCCAGCCCAATCTAGGAAAAAGCCCAAAAAATGAAAAAAAAACCAAAAAACAAAAAACAAGAAGACCCGAATCGGGCCCGGGACCAGCCGGGCCGGTTCCAAAGAGTGGGCTGAACCGGGACCGCCCCACCCTAACCCCCGGGACCGCCCCACCCTAACCCCCGGGACCGGGCCTAGGCCCGGAACCATAACCGGTTCACCAGGTTGGGCCGGGCCAGATCAGGCAGCCCGACCCGAGTCCAAGACTATACATGCATATTTCAATTGGTTTACTTCTGTACCCAATGAAAAAAAAACATGGTTTTGGGAAGACCATCATTCCCCTAAATCAATCCTTCTCCAATCATTGATTGAAGAGATATTACCCGAAATGGGACTAAATAGGTTTGAAAAATCCAAACATGGGACTGTCATGTTTTTATTCTCAAAATAGGACTAATTACTGTCATGTTTTGGCAGTACCAGACTTAAAACATGACAGTATTTTCCAAACTTGACAATAATAACTCCTATGTTGGGAATAAAAACATGACAGTCCTATTTTGGAATTTTCAAACTGTTTGTCCCATTTCGGGAACTTTCCCTTGATTGAAAACCTCATTGAGTCAATGGCGTGTCACTTTTCTATCCATTTTCCTCATCTGACAACCATTAATTTGTCTAATAAGAAAAAGCTCTATTGCTCTAGAAATACTATTAATGAAACAAACGATCCACAAACATTTACAATAAAAGTAGATCATTGCATGAAAAATTGGGAAAATTGCCATTGTCTTGTGCGAAAAAAGACTTTCACTATTTCTTTACGGGCTCGTTTCATAGTTTACACGTTAAATCTTACACGCGAAGTGATTGAACACAAAACATAGGGAATCAATCATTTTTCATGTAAAATAGATTACATTATTTGGCTTGATGTGTAATTTTTTTAAATTGCACGCAAAGTCGTTGCAGTGTTTCATAAAAGGATGCAAAGTATTTTACCACCCCCCACGAAAAATACTTTACATGGTACAGTACGAAATGTTTTTAAAAAGTGCCCTACAGTTTACATTAAATAATCAAACCAAACAGTGTAAACATTTTACATCGTTACACTTCACATGCAAAGTAATTATTTTACATCCTACCAAATGTCCCCTTAGTACAAAACTAATTATTAGTTTAATTTATTACAATTTCTAATATTGATAATTGAATGATATTTGACTATAATTGAAAGACATCATTTTTTTATCATCAAATCCAACAAATATTATTAATCCAAAAAGCCATTAGTCATTTGGCTAGAAATACAAACTGGCATAACATCATAGCTACTATGCTGATCTGGGAGATTCACGTGTGCTATTGTAAGTGCATGAGCAACACGATTCGCAGACCGTTTACACGATTCGCAGACCGTTTACTCTTAGTTTCTAACACTCCCCTAATGTCATCAATAATAATTTGAAAATAAGATGACCCTCCCCCCTTTATGGACGCCCTTCACGACCGTCATGGCATCGGTCTCAAAGTCTACTCTATTCCATCCTTCCTCGATTGCCCCAGCTATCGCTTCCTTCAAACCCACTGCTTCAGTCTCGGCTAATGACCAATTTGCCTCGGCCGAACCCCCCTTTGCCTTCAGAAAATTTTCTTTGTTGTCTCGAGCCACCCAACTCCATGCTTGAATTCCCCCTGATTCATTGACCGCCCCATCTACATTAATTTTAATAACATCTTTTGCTGGTTTCCGCCACTTCTCATCTTCCTTACCGACAGCCTCCCTCTGGTAGATATTACTGTCATGGGCCTTGTGCCACCTTGCAAGCATCCCTGCTTCTCTGTTTATTACGTTCATCTCATCCTGTTTCTGATTCTTCCAGGCTGCATTATTCCTCCGTTTCCATAATCCCCATAATCCCTGCTTCTCTGTTTATTACGTTCATCTCATCCTGTTTCTGATTCTTCCAGGCTGCATTATTCCTCCGTTTCCATAATCCCCATAGAATCGAGATAAATTTGCCCCTTCGGACTTCATCGTCTGTTACGATATTCTGCCGCAGCCAATCATCGGTCGGCAGCTCCTCGTCTACTGTGAAACCATCGGTTTGCCACACGTTCTTGTCCAATTACAGCTCCGTAAAGCATGATCCAAAGATTCTGACTGATCATCACACAATTTGCATCCATTCTTAATAACTACACCTCTTCGCCGTAGGTTGTCCACTGTTGGTTGGATCCGTCTAACACCTGCCAAACAAAATATGTAAATTTAGGGGGTAGCCTCCCCCACAAATTCACCCCTTTGCAGTCTGTAGTAGCTCTTAACAGAAAACACCCCATTAGTTTTCCCCATTTGTGATAATCATGAGTACCGTGGAAGAGATGACATCCAAGTTCAACAAATTGGACAAGTTTCAAGGCAACGATTTCCGTAGATGGCAGAAAAAGATGCACTTTCTTCTCACCACGTTGAAGGTTGTGTACGTGTTGAGCACTCCAATGCCGGAGGTGATGGAAGATGAAACCTTGGAACAAACTAGGAGGCGCAACAAGTGGGAGAACGATGACTACATATGTAGAGGCCACATCCTTAACGGTATGTCCGATGCGTTATTTGATATTTACCAAAACGTTGAGAGTGCGAAGGAATTGTGGAATTCTCTTGAGTCAAAATACATCGCCGAGGATGCTTCTAGTAAGAAGTTCTTGGTGAGTGATTTTAATAATTATAAAATGGTTGACTCAAGGCCGGTTATGGAACAATACAATGAACTCCTTCGTGTTCTTGGTCAATTTAAACTCCACAAGATAGGTGTTGATGAGTCCTATGCCGTGTCGAGTATAATTGACAAACTTCCACCCTCTTGGAAGGATTTTAAACGTTCTTTAAAACATCAAGATGAGGAACTGTCCTTGGTTCAACTTGGGAGTCACTTGCGCATTGAGGAGAATCTTCGTGTGCAAGAGAATGACCAAATTATGGGTGAAGTTGAATCTAGAATGGCTCATGTTCACTTGGTTGAGGATAATAAATCTAACCCGAAAGATAAGGGGAAAGGCAAAAAGCGCAAGTATGAAGACCATGACAAACCCAACAAGAAACCGAAAGGTTTGGTTTGTTGGAGGTGTCAAAAGGTTGGACATGTCAAGCGTGATTGCCGTGTGAAACTGAACAAGAATGGAACTGGAACGAGTGGCAGTGGACAAGAACGGTCTAAGGACCTGGTTCCACGGAAAGGAGGTCAGTTCCTGACTAACTTTGATAATTCTGTCCACAATTATGTATCACTCATTCCAGAATCTTTTTATGTACAGGATGATGACTGTGCATGGTGGATTGACTCGGGGGCTACGAGCCATGTGTGTAAGGATAAAGGATGGTTTGAAGACCTAGAACCAGTGGAGGTCGGTTCCTTATTACGCATGGGAGACGAGTCAATGGTGCCTATCTTGGGAAAGGGTGTAGTTGTTTTAGAATTTACTTCTGGGAAAACAATTACGTTGTTTGATGTTTTGTATGTACCGAAGGTTCGAAAGAATCTTGTTTCGGGAAGTATGTTGAATAATTTAGGGTTCAAACAAGTGATTGAATCCGATAAATATATTCTGTCCAAGGGTGGTGTGTTTGTTGGTTTTGGATATTTATCAAATCGCATGTTTCGTTTAAATGTTGTGAATAAATTAATTCCTAGTGATAATTCTGTTTTTGTGGCATCTTCCATGAATGATTGTATGATTTGGCATGCTAGACTAGCTCACATTAATTTTAGAAAAATGCATGAAATGTCTAAAGATGGTTTAATTCCTGCTTTTGGTATTAATGATGATAAGTGTAGGACTTGCATGCTTACTAAGATCAAAAAACAACCGTTTACTAATGTTGAAAGGAATTCGGCTATTTTGGATCTTGTACATAGTGATCTATGTGACTTTCACTCAACTCCTTCCCTTGGCAATAAAAAGTATGTTGTTACTTTTATTGATGATTCGACTCGGTTTTGTTATGTGTATTTATTACACACCAAGGATGAAGCTTTAGAGAAATTTAAAGTGTATAAAACCGAGGTTGAATTGCAATTGGGTAATCCAATTAAATGTCTTAGGACTGATCGGGGAGGAGAATATATGGATCCCCATTATTTTCAATCTGTTGGAATCATTCATGAGACCACGGCTCCGTATACACCACAACAAAATGGTGTGGCCGAACGGAAAAATCGAGTGTTAAAGGAAATGGT